ACAGATACTATTTCTCTCTGGTTGTAATATTGATACTTTTTAATTGTGTTTGGTTTATTTCATTTATGGTACAACTAAATTGTTTGAACTATACACATAAAATATCTTTAGTATTATCAAGATTAATTTAGATATACCCGATGAGATGAAAATTCCTATTAGTCAGACTTTCAATCCATGCCAGATTGAGTTTGTCTAATATATGTAGTTCTAAAGCATTAAATTATTAAAATCTTAAATTAAAAAATTAATATAAAGTCTTGCTTTTACAAATAAATTATACTTGATTAAAGGTAAAGTGTTTTATAATTGTTCCTCAAACATTAGGTTAAATAGGTTTAATAATAATTAGTTAAATTTATATTTGAATATGATATAAATGTAATAAATAAAAAGATTGCTTTACAATTCTTTAGTAGCTAGTCAAATCAAGAGTTCATTATTTGCTCTATCTCTATTGTCACCACGCAACCGATTTGTCAACGCTTTTGAATCTATCTACGATGGTGGACTTACCCTTTCTACCGGGAAACACATTTATCGATCCATCTGTAAGCCTTATATAAGTTATTATTTCCAAATAGCGTAATCGCTTTCATTTATCTCATACACTTGGACTAAAGGATGGTTATCAAGTGGCGAAACCTTATCCTGAAGTGGGCATTGGTGGAACACCTCTTAAAGTAAATCAATTGACGGAAGCGGAATTGGATGAACTTGCAAATTTTCGGCCTATCCTTACTTATGGAAAGTCTAAGTCGGAACCATCAAACGAGTTTATTCCGGCTCATTTAGCCCTTGATAAAAAGGTGTTAAGATTTTTCGGATATTTTAAAGAAACAGTTAACGAGTCTGCCCAAGAGCACTATCGTGTTAGATATGTGACTATTTATTACTATATTGAAGATGATACCATATGTATTGTTGAGCCCCCGAGAGTCAACAGTGGACTTCCACAAGGTAAAACTTTTTGGTTGCAACTACTTAACTTCTACTTAGGAAAAATTTTGCGCAGACAAAGAGTACCAAAAAATGCGAATGGAGACATTTGGAATTGGAATGACATAAATCTTGGGATGAATCTTCCAGTCTATGGGCGCGTTTATAGAATAACAAACTGCGATAAATTTACAAAAGTATGTATTACGTGTAGTAGTATCTAACAATATTTCACTATTAAATAGTATTTGTAAACGATTTGAAAATTCAAATTTACTTTTTAGGATTATTTGGAAAGCGAGGGTATTGAAGTAAATGAGCCTGAGCAAGAACCTCAGGATCCATATTTGGCGGAAAGACAGGTTCGCGAAGCTTTAAAAACCTATAAGACGCCTTCTTCGTTTGATGCAAGGCGCCAGCAACTTGAGCTTGATCGAAAGGTTTTGCGTTTTTATGCTGTTTGTGATGAGGGAGGCGAAATGAGCAACGAAATGAGAAAAATCACTATTCATGTAACTAGCTTGTTATGAACATTTTAATATTAGTATTATCTATGCGACGATACAATGGAATTAAGAGAAATGCACCAACCAAATGATGGAAGAGATCCGTTTCCAGTACTAGTGCGCCGCGAAAAAATGGCAAAAGATCGCTTTAATGTGCCCTCATCTTTTCCTTCCATCTCTATGGAACTCACAAGTAATTTTTTAAAATTATTGTTGCCTTAAGCATATTGTGTGAAATTGCCTGGACAAAAATTATATAATGAGTTGTATTAGAAAGGCAATATAACTATAATTTGTAGTTAAAAATTTAAATTGTTTAAAGGTTGTTTGTTTCGATTTCCGTAACTTGGTCCAATTGCGAGAGAAACCTAAAGGAACGCATCTTGTTTTGAGTCCATAGTATCCATAATAATTTCCAGAATTGGACCGTAGACATCCCGGATGTTTGGCCGGCATAATGAGCCATTCATTTCTTAGCATCACAATACAACTCGTCAATGAGATAAGTGAAGTCCTACGAACATTTGTGCTATCTGTCCTTCTGCCCCGGTGCATTTACTTTTTATATATCCTCGTATCACCCCTTCACTAATTTCCTCATCTCCGTTCACTGTGCTGGAAGTGTTGATTCAAGCCTGCCCTTCTAATCTGCAATCTTCTTCCTCCAGGTCTTATCATAGTCTTCCTGTTGCTTCGTGTAATCTCACTCTTATCTGCCTGCTTTACTGTTTTCATTAGATCACTGCCACCATAGCCGTGCTAATTGACTCATCAAGAAGAAAAATCAGCCTAAGCTGCAGAAACATAGATACAGGATGATCTGAAATAGGGGGAT